CCGAACTGTTCAAGCGCAAGGATCCGAGTTCGATCCCTGGTACAAAAAAAAAAAAAAGAATTACTTTATTAAAAAAGTGATCAGCAAACTGCAGAGACTTGGTAAACTACCAAAAAAGGATGCAGTGTTTAAATTGGACTCAAACTGTCAAGAAAATGGGTAGCTCATGATCCAGTCCCTGGCCATGTGACCTTTTCTTCCCACACCCATACTACTATGTCTTTGTCCACTCTGTGGTCCCCAACAGACAATGGGGCCACCCAATCTGGGACTTCTGGCATCCAAAACTATAACCTAAATAATTTCCCTTTATGAAGTACCTGCTGTCAAGCATTTTGCGACAGAAACTGAAAATGATAGCAGTATCAACATTCTAGCTGTGTACCTGTACGACTATGAGAAAGGATTTTCTGGAAAAATGTCTGATTTCAGACCTGAGGTACCACTACTGCGTACCTCAGGGGATGCACTTTCATTTTCTTCTAACATTACTCTGTTGAATTTTTTTATTTTTTCGGTACCTGGGATCAAACTCAGGACCTTGCGCTTGTGAGGCAGGTGGCAGAACCAGTGAGCTAAATCCCAGGCTCTACTCTGTTGAATTCTGCAAATACTTCCATGATTTTTAAATTAGAAAAAATAATTAATAAAAAGAAACACAATCTCTTTTAATGTAACTTTATGTTTTATGTGACTGTGTCTGAAAATAAGAATAGACTTCTGCAGCACTCTAAAATTATTTATGTATCCAAAGTACTCAACTAACAGCCCGAACTAGCAGAAATGTATAGAGTTAAGTTACACACGATTACCACCAACGTTTCAATAGCACCAGCTTGACATAAAATTGTTGGAAGCACCTCAGCCTTGACCAGTAAACACACTGGAGTTCTTTGTTTCTTTCTCTCAATTTTTGTAATTTCTTTATATCAAAGCACTTAATGATTTATGTAACACAGCTGGATAGGCTTACACATTTTTTTTTTTACCCCTAATCAACCTTAGCCCACAAGGCAAGTGCTTCAAATGAAAGCAAAACCAGAGCAAGTTGCAAGGCTCCCTGGGAACACAGATCTCCGAACACGTGCACACTGTTTGCATAACAAGACACCCAAGGGATAGTATAGGAAAAGACAGAGACCTCTCCACTGAGACAGAGGGACGTGCCACAGCTCAAGGCATGCCTGGTTGTCTGTCCTGTGGGTACTAAGAGGCAGTGTGGTGGTCCAGGACAGGCCAGCTTCCAGCATTCTAGCTCATGCTGCTCAGCCAGTCAACAAAAAGAATATGTTTCCACAACAAATCTCTTTGTCCTAAGGCTTCTATGGCTATTGAAAAGGCTTTGGCAACAGTATGCCAGCCCCAGGGCAGCAGTGACTCTGAGATTTATGTGGCCCATGAGACGGCAGCTGAAGGAGACAAGCAAAGGCCACTTTTTGTGGTGCTGTGTAAGAGGAATAAATTCCACTGCTCACAGAACAGGCAGAAAATCATCCTACACAGAGATCACGATGACTCGAGCAAGGCTGCAGGGTCATACAAAGAGTTTCTGTGGTGAGGGCTGCCCCTCAACTTTATGGGTTGAAGCTTTAATTCTCATTACTGAGGCAGGGGGCGCTTAGAAAACGAGGAGCTCAACCTGTCTTTTTCTTGTGCTATTTTCCCTCCTGCCATACCAGGAAGGCTCTCTCCAGGAATCGGCACCTTGACCTTGAGCCTTTAAGTCTCCAGAATCCTGAGCCACTAGAGTTCTGTTCATTGTCAACTGTCCATGCTGTGGTGGTCTTCAAACAACATAGAACAGACAAAGGACAGACCTTCAAATCTGGTGATCAACCTCACACGTGTCAACAGAGAAAGATTAGAAAACTGAACTTGGCTGACACCAACCTATTTTGATGCAGCAGAAGTAACCCCAAAAGATAGGCATACAAGCACCAAACAACCTGACAGCCTGCACATGGTGAGAAGTGTTTAAGCCACAAGGCAAGAAAAAAGCAATTATGTGGGGCAAAGTCTAAGACTGACTTAGAAGTAGCAGTCATATTTTGGTTATCAGTAACAGGAAGAAATTTGAGAAACTCACAAGCATGAAGAAATTAACATACTGATAAATAGCAAGTGATCAAAGAGGAAATCACAAGGAAAATAAAATGCTTTACAATGAATGACAAAAAGAAAACAGTATATTATATCTGTGTGCAGCTACGTGCCTGGAGGGGAATTTATAGCTGTAAAAACCATTTTTTTTTTTTTTTGGTACCGGGGATTGAACTCGGGTCCTTGCGCTTGCAAGGCAGGCCACTGAACCGCTGAGCTAAATCCCTGGCCCAAAACCTTTATAATTAAAAAAGAAGATCTTGAGTCAGTAACTTAAAACTTCTACTGAACACTCAAAAAAGATGGGCAAACTGACCCTAGACGTGTAGAAAGAAGGAAACAAAGAATAGAAATTCATGAAATAGGGAACTGAAAAAAAAAAGAGAGAGAAAAGGAAAAAAATCAAGAAAAGTAAGGCGGTTACTTGAGAAGATCAATAAAATTGACAGGACGTTAGCTAGACTCAGGGAAAAAAAAATTCAAATTACTAAAACTAGAAATGAAAGGGGAAAGTACTACTGAATTTAGAGAAATAAAAAGATTACAGGAATTGCAGAAACAAACGTATGCCAACAAAACAGACAACTTAGGTGAGCTGGAGAATCTGTTAGAAAAACAAAGTAGCAACACAAACTCAACAAATAGGAAATCTGAGTATGTATACAGCAAGAGATTGAATCAAAGTAACTGAAAACAAATATCATCAACAACAAAAAAAATTCCCAAAAGTCTGGCTCAGATAGTTTCTGTGGTGAATTCTGCCAAACACTTACAGAAGAATTAAGACCAAATCTTCACAAACTCATTCAAAAAATAAGTAAGAGAAATGCTTCTCAATTTATCCTATCAGGCCAGTATTACTCTAATATCAAAACCAGAAAAACATCCTAAAAAATGGATATTACAGACAAATTATCTCTTTTGCACACAAATACACTGTAACCAATTGGAGTCATTCCAGGTTGGCCATGCTAGTTGTAAACTAGGCAAATCAGGGGCTGGAGGGCAATTCTTTAACTTGACAAAAGGCACCGAGGAAAATCCAACAGCTGACACCACAATGAAGGTAAAAGAAGGAAAAGTCCTACAAATCAAGGCAAGAATACCTTCCCCATGCTCCTCAGCACTGACTAGAACTTCTGGCCAGTGCAATTCAGTCAGGAAACAAAATAAAGGAATCCCTACAAAAGAGTCAGGGTTAGACTACCTGGAAACACAGATGACACCAGCCTGCACCTAGAAAAAATCAAAGAAACCTATTAGAACTACTAGAACTAGCCCAGCAGTTCAGATCAGACCCTCAGACCTGCAGGCAGGAATGCAAATGTTGTGGATAATTCAGCAACAGCCCAGGTACACACAGGGCCGCCCAGGTACACACAGGGCCGCCACAAGAACCAGTAAAGAAAATGCAGAAACAAGGTGCTTCAAATTCACAAGACATATGATGTGAAATAAGAAGGCAGGAGAGTCCACTGGTTCTCTCTTGCATGGTGGCCCACCCTCATGCTGTAAGGTACACTTCTTTTCCTACATTTACTTGGCTCAAAGTCACCCTCTGCAAAGCCTGTTTCTTTGCTTACCGTTAATAAAAAATAAATTAAAAAGAAAAGAAGGCAAGAGATACTGAGGCAAAGGACAACTGAAAGCTAAAGAGAGTCACCAAAGGAAACACACTGCATTGTTCCATTTAAGACAAATCCAGAATTGGCGAATCTACTGGCCAAAAGGAGAGCAGAGGTTGCCCAGAACTTGCAAGGCAGAGGGCCCTCTGGGACACTGAGGAGCGACCACTGATGGTGGGTGTGGAGTTTCTTTCTGGGGTTCTAAAACTGGACGTAGTGAAAGGTGCACCACTCTGGATTTATAATAGAACCACCGAAGTGTCCATGTCAAAGGATGAATTATGTAGTATGTGAATTACATGTCAATAAAGCTGTTACATAAAAGATTCACAGGTACAATCTCTGGACAAAAGTTATACCTGGCTTTTCACTACTGAATTTGTGCCAATGTTTAACAAGGAGACTCAGCTGAGGAAGCCCCCAGCTGAGGAAGCCTCGGTCTGTGAACCATAAAAGCTTAAAAACTAATTTTTCTGGTAGTTTCATACTGCCTCAAAAAGTAGAGAAGATTCCCCATATGATCCAGTGATTACAAACCCAAGCACAATCAAAGGATCTGGAGTTCACCAGAAACACACAAACCCATATAGCAGCGTCATTTACAACAGCCTCCGAGTGGACACCACTGCTAATACTCGTCCCCAAGAAATGGATAAGTGCATGTGCCAAAGCATACTGGGCTATGGATCCGCCACAGGAAGGGATGGACAACTGCTTCGTGTTACAGCAGGGATGAACTTGCAGACTTTGTTCTCAGTGAATGAAATGAGGCATAAAAGACCACGTGCTACACAACTGTGCTCATAGGAAGCATGCAAATATGGCCAATCAGAGACATAGAAAGCAATGTAGGTGGCTGCCAGAGGCCAAGGAAGAGGTGGGGATGGTGACTGGCGGGTATGGGGCTCCTTCAGGGGGTGGCGAAGACACTGCCATCAGTGTGTGGTGCTATCACAACTGTGCCACCCAACTACAAATCCCTGGCTGCATAAATGAGGAGGCTGAACTCCATGGTACGGTCATCTCCCAAAGCAAAATCAAGAGTGTTAATATGACAAACATTCATCAGACAGGCAAACTTACCAAAATTCTTTTACGATCCTTTTCTGATAAGAATTTCACTGGTGGGTATTTCTGGGTGAAACTGTAAAACATTATAAGAGTAATAAAGAAAAGTCAGGTGTCTCCATGGGGCATATTCTCCACCCACTACCAGGGCAGAGGTCAGATCTGAAATTCTGACGCGGGTGCCTGGCTTTCACTTCTGCCGGAAGAACCCAAGAGCCGCTGGTCTGAGCTCACAGAGATCTTGAAAGCCTTTACGTGCTGCTGTTTAGAATCAAGCCAAGCCACAGGGTCATAGTGGCTGCAAAAGCAGAGGCAGAACCACCTCTGCCAGGCCAGGGGAAGCAGCACCCTCAAAATCCCCAGGCAGAGCCCAGAGGGAGGTGGTAGCCACAGGAGGTCACAAACACCACTTGGGGACTGTGCCACGCAAGACCAAAAAAAAAAGGGGACATCACTAAGTTGTCCCCTTTGGCATCTTTATGGATCCCTTTCGGAACAGCATCTTGGGTGCACAGACAGCACCAGCACTGCCTCTCCCCCATGGTCTACCCATCTCCCAATGCCCTCTTGCTCACACCAATGCTCCAGAGCAGTACAGTATGGCAGGAGTAGGACACAGTGAGAAACAGAGAGCACCATTTGAAACGCTCAACGTAATTTGGTTAGGAACATAAATGATCTGAGTCATATCTGTGACCAGCTTTACAGTTACTGTTTTAATTGGAGCAGTGCTGCCCAGGTGCTGGCCTATGCACAGTCTCTGTCCCCAGCATGGACACAGTATGAGGACACAAGATGGGTTTCTGAACAGTGTGACAGCTTGTTAGCCAGGGGCCTGGGACAGGTGTTTCTCCTCTCTTAAGTGAGAAGTGTGCTCATTTGCAGCTAAGGGCTTCTTCCTCTTACACTGTGGAATTCCCATGAGGAGCTTCTCGGTTCCTGAACCCTCTTCAGACCACAACAAAGGCAGGCAGAGTGGAGGATGGAGGGCCCAGGGCCTTGGCAAGCAATCCTGGCCTTGCTGGCATGCTGCAGTCCCCAGCATGCCCCCAGCTGTGTGCTCACAGCTTCCTCTGCATGAGGGCTGGCACCACCGTGGAAACACTCTTTCTTCCTTCTTTTGGTAGTGCTGGGTACTGCATCAGGGCTGCATGCCTGCCAGGTAAGTGCTCTACCCTGAGCTACACCTCAAAAAGAAAACTTGTTCTCTACCAACCTTGTGACTTTAGATGGGCATTAATGAATGAGATGGCAGTGGCAAGCTGGGCAGTGAAGGGAGGGCACAGAGACCCTCTCAGTGAGGACCAGCGACACAGGCTGCAGGTGCAGAGCCACTGATCTGGCCCAGAAACAAACAATCCAAGTTTAGCTTAGAGGAGTCTTCCCTTGGTATTGTCGGGGTTGGCCCAGGATCCCAAAAATATCAGAACCTGAGGCTGTTCAAGTCCCTTGTGTAAAATGGTGTTCTCGTTGCATGGAGCCTCTCACATGGTCCCCTATGCTCCAAATCATCCAGAGGACACACAGCCACTAGGACGCTGCAAGCGCTACACAGACAGGAATGACATGGCACTGTGCAGGGAACAATGACCAGGAAAGTTGGTACGTTTTAAGTACAGATGCAACTGTCTCCCCTATCCACAGCTCGTCCCTGTGTGAAAGGCTGGAATAAGACTGGGTGTGTCCTTCATTACAGGAAGAAAACAGCAGTTTCCCTACAGAAGGAAATGCTCTTTTGATAGGGATGAGAGTAGAGCAGACTAGACATTGCACACTACTACCTGTGTCAGGACGTCACACAGCACCCCATAACAACACAATTTTTCTGTCAATGAAACAGACAACTGAGCCAAAAGCAGGTTTTTGAAACACACAGTTAACCACGTGGACGACCTAAGAAACACTACCAATGCTGCATGCTGGAACCTTTAATTTAAAATCAAAACAGGTTGGTTTCTTGCTTTGTTTTCCTTCAATATGTAGCAACCATGCTTCACACTTCACAGGCCATTAGGTGCCTTCCAGGTGCATGTCACGCAGCCATGTGGAGCTATGGATGGTGGGCACGGTGACCGGAATGTCATAGCTGGGTACCGCTGACCAGACCCAGCCTGAGTTCCATGGCCCTCCATGCTGACAGGAAAAGATCTGGCCCAGTGTACAGCTCGGCCACTCTGGCAGCTTTGCCTGAGCACCTGTCCCTATAAGGTCTGGGCATAGAAGTGGCCAGGGGACAGCAGGGTGGCACCTGCCCATGGGACAGAGCAGGCAGGCAGAGGCAGAACCAGCATGAAGTGAGTAACAGACCTCTTCTTAAAGCTCCCTAGCCATCCTTTCCCTGATCATTTTAAGGGACCCCACACACTGAGTTCATGGTTCAGTAGGACAGCCTGTAACCTGCTTTCTTACTTGTAATTTGATTTATTCCTGCTCGGAGAACACTAAGGACATGACAATGAAATCAAACAGATTCTCTTCAAGAATCCTACCAACTGCAGATGAGAAATATTCAAAACAAAACTTCACCTGTACTGAACATGGACAGACTTACTTTCTCGTCCTCACTCCCAGAATAGCACAATAACAACTGTTCCGCTATTTACACACCGGTGCAATTGAGTAAGGTATGGTGGACATGCACTGCTTCTATGCAAATATGAAGCTGTTGTACAGAAGGTGCATGGTACCTTCGGCCTTCAGGGAGGCAGGACACCACAGGGCCTGGAAACCCAAAACTCTGCTCTATGGGACAGGGTGTGGTGAGGAAAGCCCACATGCCATCCAATTGGGCTCCTTGATGCAAGCATGCTCCTTGTCTTTAGATAAAAATAACCTTTAACCAGTAGAAATACCCCATTTCTTTCAGACCACACTGCTCCAAGGGACAAGTACATCAAGAAAGCACACTTCTGGTTACATTCTTATCTTGCGAATGTTTGATCCTCCTTATCACAATCAGGGAAAATAAAATCAGAAAATAAACAAACCTCACCCATTCCCAGCTTGCCTCCCTCTCAGGCCCTCCGCACTTGCCCTTCTGGCTGAAGCAGTAGTGCAGGCTGTCACCTGACTGCTCACCACCCTGAGCAGCAGACCCAACCTAGCTACCCATGGGTGGGCACAGGAGGCAATGCCAGCCTCAGCCCCACTGTGCAGTGCCTACAATTAGATCTTTCCTTGTACTTTCTTCTCATTTAAAAGCACACAGAATATCATAAAAGCAAAACAAATGACATAAATCTCTTCTTTCAAGAGATCTTATCTGTGAGCCATCACCTTAGGGAAGTTATTGATTTTTTTTCATAATTAAATGAGTATTTTTGTCTCAAGAAATTGACTGCTGATGGACTTATTTTTTTTGACAAATGTAAAATCTATGGTAGGTTATTTCTTACAACATGTAATTTATTGTTTTTTAAAAAACTTGAATTAAAGCCCCTCAAATTATACAGCCTCATTGAAGGGAGTTTCTGGCTGTCACCCAATGAAATGCTACCAGCAGCAGCACATCAGCATGAAATCATGGTATATAAAATTTAAAGAACAGATAACGATAAATAGTGAGGGATTAATTTGGGGGGAGTCAGAAAAGACCAATTATTGATTTCATACTTCATTCTGCTTTACATCCAGGAGGACTGAAAACGTCCAGTCCAGCAGAGGTCGAAGGTAAGGGTTTGCCCCGCTGTTCTGTTAAGGACAAGAAGAAAATGAATGAGTGCATTGATGAATCTGCTTCATCCCCATTTCCCTTTGATCATGTATTAAGAATCAAAGGGAAGCTGGTCTTCATGTCTCGCTTTTTGTTCTGGATTTGATAAAGGGCTCACAGGATGCTGGCACACATTGTCCAAATGCATCACAGAAAAAGAAAAGTAATCATGTAAACTTAATGTGTTTTCCTTTTTTAAATACTAAGTACTGAACTGTTAGCAGCTGTAGTCTCAAGACTGACCTTCTAGCACCTGAGACTTCACTGACGGAGAAGTGAGAGTGACAGAGAAAATGCTTGAGTCTGAGGCTCGTGCCCAAGGCTCCTGCCCAGCAGGGACAGCCTTGTCCACCTACAACCTGATGGGTTTCCTTTTCCTGTTACTCCATTTCACCCTCCTGGCCACTTCACCTGACCTAAAATTTAGAATCTTTAAATGCTTCTGTGACAGATGCAGATAAGTGACTACATAAGACCCATCCCAACCCACACAGCCTCTCGCCGTGCGTATGCAAAGATGTGGTGTCCCGTGCCCTCGAGATGGCTGCCTTTTTCTGGGAGCTGTTACATTAACCCATGCTGGTGGGAACCACCTGAGCACCTCACTCAGAGATGGAAGGCTGTGGTCAGCTGTGCAGGGATTTAAGAATTCACAGGTTTGCAAGGAAGATTTCACACCTAGATCCTTCCTTTGTCCAATGTTCTCATTACATTATTTCATTTTGGTCAAACAGAGGAAAACACCAAGAGTGCTTAAGTGGACATTTGTCTAGACTACAATAGTTAATAGAAATCAAACTGATGTTAGAAGTATTTTTAACTAAGAATCTATGGTTTGGGATTCAGTCATACCTCTAGAAAAATAAAATAAATTAAAGAAAAAAATTTTTTTCCTGGACAGAATCCACTGCTTTCACCAGAAATAGTCCTAATGAAACAAACAAAAAACAAAAAGTTTAAAGACAGTGCATCCAATCTTTCAGTAAAACTTAGCCCTTATTCTTTGTCTTGTAATGATATCATGATGCCTTCTTTCATTCACACAGTTCACATAAATGGACTTTCATAAATGGCCTCAGCAGAGGTACACTCAGATTGGTTACAGACCTTTCCTGTCACACAGCCAACATGTAAGTACTTTCCTACACTTGGAACAAAATGTGCACGTACCTTTTTTCCAAATCTCTGATTTTCTCTCTCAGTGGCTCAACAATCTAGGATATATGACAACAATAAGAAAAATCAGTTTTAAAGCAAAAATCCAGTATTCTACCACTTACACCCTCTTCTGACATTTCAGGTGAACGTGACATAATGTACAACAGATTTTAATTTTCTGTACAAATTCACTTTAGTTTGACACTGAGACAAACCACTTGAATCTCATTGCTAGAATCAATCAACAATCATCTAATGCTGAAAAATTACTTTCCACACACCAACCTGGCCAGGAAGAAGGCAAAGGTGTTTTGGGTTCCTAAGGCCAGGCAAGTCAACAGGACCTACCTGCTGGGGACCCAAAGATGCCGAGCATGGCCCACAGCAGCTTCATGTCTTGCTTCTGCAACTCTCCCTGCATTATCAGTATATAAGCTGTGGCTGAGTTAATCCACACCCCCACACCACCACCCACTGTAAGCGCAGGTAGGAGCAGCAGCCCAGGATTTCCCAGCATTTCAATCCAGATGTGCTGCAGTGGTCTGGCTGCACCTGCACTGACTCATCTATAAACTACAATGACTACTGTCAGTAGGAAGTATACAGTCCAGTTAGGCAGGGGATGACTCCCCAACTTGCACAGCAGACACAGAGATGCTTGCTCTGCATCACAGCCTTCACCTGGGTTGGGATCATGCTCCCCTCACACCTGCTCAGACAGTAGGTGCTGGAGGCTTACAGGTAGGTCATCATTTCTCTTTCTCTAGGAAAGGCTCACCTGAAAAGTCGCATAAAATTCTAAATATATTTGCCTTTAGAATGGGGTTTGTTTGAATTCATTATACCTTTATAAAAATGGACCAACAGTGATGGAGACTGCATCTGTAGGATGACCAAGTCTCTTCTTAAAGAAGAGAATGATTTTTGAAATGGTTTCAAAGTTGGGGAACAGCATAGACTACTGCACTATAGATGCCAACACAAGCAAAGGAAGGGAAAGTGACAAATGCACAGATAGAGGCAGACACAGAAAAGAGACTAACCTCTTCAATTCTGCTTTCAATTTTCAGTTCGCTGTTTTCCTGGATGGATCTGTTGAGCAAAAAGCTACAAAACTGAGATCAACTGAAAGGCTTTGGGACTTAAACATTTGTTTCTGCACTAACTATGGTCACACAAGCTGTGGAAGGCACCCTACACTGCCCAAGTGCCAGCCAGTCCTGTGTGAGTCCCCGCCAGCAGGGGGCACACAAGGAAAGTCAGGCCCTGGGGAGGGACTGTCCCGAAACCCACCCAGGAACATACTGAGTTTTACCAAGTGATGGTTTCTATTAAACCAAAACAATCTCACTTCCACATTACCTCCAAGAGGGGGCTTTAAATTAGAAGCAGTGTGCATGCCTACAGGAGTGTATGTTCCTCTGTTGGGATTTAACGCAAATGGAGCTTTTCCAAGGGCAGACACAGAGCTCCTTTAACAGGGGCTGCCACTCCACCTAGCCACACACAGCTGTCTTTGTAGGAGACACACATGGTCTAGGAGCAGGAATTAGATCTGAATGCCTCGCCCACTTAGCAGAGCCAAATCCACAGGAGAAGCCCGCTGGGTGTCAGCTTGTGGGGGAAAGGACAAGCACCCACCTTTTACTCTGGCCTCCTGCAGCAGCAGCAAGACCAAGGCCAACCTTTTGGCAATACCAAGAAAGAGCAAAGCAGGCAAACTCTTCCTTAATGCAAAACTTTACTAACAATGTCAAATTTCCTCTGACCATGAGTGCTTACTTCTTCTTTGCTGACTTTTAAAGGGGTTGATTTTTAATTTGGTAGTGATAATTTGCACGAGGATTTTAGTTTTACAAGTTTGCTTTTTAAGAAGCCCAAGTCACACACACTCAAGCCAGACACCTACTCCAGGACATGCGGGCGGGCTCAGCACCCACACCAGGATGTGCTGAGCATATGAAAATCCAAACATCTAACTCCAAGATGTCCCAAATCTGAACTGTTTTGAATGGTGAACTGATCCCCAAGTAGAAGACTGAACATGTGACCTAACTGGAGTAGGTCATACATAGACTACATGTGTAAGTTGTGTGTGAAACACACAGGAACTCTGTCCAGACCTGGACCCATCCTCAAAACAGCTCCTTGTCTACATGCAAATACTCTAAATCCAAAAGAATAAACCCAAATACTTCTGGTCCCTAGCATTTCAAGTCAATGAAGTCCCCTGGAATTGTAAGAGCACCAATTCCCCTTAAGCAGCCTGGCTCCCCAAAGCTTGGCCCAAGGCTGTGTCCACAGGGTCACCACTTTGTGGTCCACTCAGGGGGGGCAGAGGAGAGGAGTAACATGGACATGCCCACTAGCGCCTACCTGAGTGCTTGGCCTCACTCAGGGGTCACTGTTATCAGCCGTGATCCCTGCGGACACCCAGGAAGAAGAGCAACAGCCCAGCAGAACACAGACCCACCAGAAAATGCTTTTCCATTAACCCACGACCCAGGTGACAACCAAAGTGTGCTAAAACCTAACTGTGATACCCAAGTAAGTAAGACAATTACCTCATACTGACGAAGTTCCCCCAAACGGCTGCAAGAGAAAAAGAAGAAGAAAGTCAATATTTAACTCAACAACATTCAGGGACTCTAACTGAAAAAAATTTTAACCAATATTTTCAAACTCACTGAGAAATCTAAATGAGTTTGAAAATGATAAAGTGCACATGTTGCTTTCAGAAGAAGTAAATTCTCCTACAAACTGAAAGCACGAGTCCATCTGCCCCTGCGGTGCTGGAGTTCAGGGTGCCAATTTAAGGGTCACCTGCAAAAACCAAAGGATGTATGCTCAGAGGGACTCGGGGTCCAACTCACCTCAGTGCTGAGACAGAGCCCAGGAAGCTCAACAGCGAGGGTCCTTAAGCTGGCTGACTCCACCCCCTCAACTACAGTCACCTGTCACTGTGTTCTCTGTGACAGGCACCTGGCAGCTAGGCATCACCTGCTTTTGCTCAGGCACCTTCAATCATGTGCAGAAATCAGCCCTGGCCAAACATTCATTCTGATCATGGTGACGTCAACATAACACAGGATGAGCATGTATCATCTAAGAATGCAAAACCCAAAATGTCCTAAAAATGTCAACTTCATCAGCTCCCCTGATACAACTGAAAATCTGATACCAGGAAATTTTGTTTCATGCAAAAAATTATTAAAAAATTTATAAAATTACCTTCGGGCTGCATGTACAGGAAACAAATGAACACCCTTATTTAGAGTTGAGTGTCATCCTAAGGAATCTCATTTTATATATATATATATATGTATGCAAATATGACCAAAAAAAAAACCCTTCCCAAATCCAACAGCTGAAACACTTCGGGCCCAAGCATTCTGGGTAAGGATGCTGACCCAGTACTGGCCCAAGAGGTCACCTTGAATCACAGAGCAGGGGGCTGTCTCATAAAGACAAATCTGCACTGAGTCCACGTCCCAAGGCTCTGTCTATAGTTCTGTTTGTCCTCTGCCCAGTACTGAGCTTCCTGTGGCCTGGTGCTCCCAAATGCAGGGATGGACAGAGATGGACAGCGACAGTCAGGGACAGAGAGAGATGAGCAGGGATGGACAGAGTTGGAGAGGGACAGACAGGGGTGGACAGTAATGGACAAACAAGCAGTATAAAGCCCCGAGTTGCCGAGTCTGTGGGCTTGGCAGGGCCCTGAAGTCAGCATTAGGGTCGGCATCCTGTCAGCATGCATTGCCGCCCAGCCACCTTCCTGCACACAGTAGGGAAGGGTTTAATAAACGTTTGCTGAACACAATTCAGTGTCACAAACATCCTCCTCCCAAGAAGCCCCCTTATCACAAGGGGAATGGTGCGGATTCTGTAAAAGCATGTCTCTTCAAACAGAGGAAAGTACTGATAGAAAGTAATAAATAACGGAAGTGGGAAGGAAACAAGAAATGGGAGAACTTAAAGCTACAGTAGATTCGCAGTGAACATTTATACCTTGACGTGACGAGATGCTGACTTCGGGGCCCTGCCAAGTCTGAAGATGCACCAGCCCGGGGCTTTCCATGGCTCATCTGTCCACACTTGGCCATCCTTGTCTGCCCCATCCATCCTGTCCCACATGCAGGGCCCGCTGTGCACACTGTGGTGCAGTCACTGAGTTGAGAGGAAGCTGCTGCACCTTGTGCAAGGCTAGCCCTCTCCTGCCACCACCAGGGCCCAGCCACCACCTCCACAACACAGGCTCACAGGAGGGCCTAACATGAGCGCTCAACCCTGGTTACACGGCACACAGCCTTCACTACGAAGACCCCACTGGGCAGGGATAGCCAGACTCATGTAAGAGACCTCGGGGACCCAGCAGGTCATCAGTTTGGCATCCTTGGGGCCAGCTTGGAAGCAAGTGAAAGAAAGTCAGAGCAGCATCTCAGGGCTGATGGCTAGTCCAGGGAAGGAATGTTCTGTGACCTGCCTTGGTGGGAGCTCCATTTGGAGAAATGCAGGGTGGAGATGGCAGAGGCCTTGGTTCTAGGGCTGCTACTCAGGCCTTTCCTGTCCTGCAGGTGAAAGCACCCAGCAGGCTACCTTGCCGGAGCACAATGGAGGAGGTAAGGCAGGTGGAAAACAGCAGCACGACTGCCACCACTCAGAAATGCATGGAACCAGGACCAAGAAAACACCAAATCCCCAGTTTAGTGCTGACATGAGGAGCTGTTTATGGTTTCCACCCTGCCTCTAAAGTAGAGGGGAGAAGCTTAAGGTCTTCCTCCTTCCCTCACCCACCAGCTCTTCATTAGCAAATGCAGGGCCTGTGGATCCAGGAGGATCCCCTAGCTGTGCAGGCATCTGGCGGGCGGTATGGCAGTGGTGACTGAATGGCAGCACACTGTAGAGAGGACCCCACAGGGGAGGCTGGCCAGGGAAGGCCTCCCAGGGGCGAGGGCCTCCCGGGACCATCAGGAATAAGCAGCAAGACCAAGGTCCTGCAGGACATTGTGGTGTGACAGCCACTGCCAGGACCTCAGGAATTTTGGCTCACACGAACCCAAGCCTTGGGGGCTGCATGTGCACAGAGGGAAGAGTGGGGGGGGGCAAAGGGAAGCAGACACAGTACGTAAACCCAAACACAGATTATGGAGCCCCTGCTGGGAGCCAAGCACTGTGTAAGGTTTGGCAGCCAACGGTCCATCAGTGTGAAAAGGCTCTAGAGAACAACCATGAGTGACAGCAGGGTGCTGGAGGGAACAGTGGAGTCTGAATTTCCCGTCCAAACAGAAACACCAAGGCTTTCCACGCTTGAGGTCCAGAGTTGCTGAATCAGAATCTTTGCAGAGGGCTGGAGGTTCTGCATTGTTAGTGTCCGAGGACTGTGACTCCTGTTGATCTTGGGACCTCCACACCACACCTCCCCGGTTGCCCACTTCCAGGTTCAGGCCACTCTGCCTCTGTGCTGCCTCCAAGCACAGAGCTGGCCCCGCCTGCAGACCTGTGCACTGACTCTTCTTCCAGGGGTCTCTTTATCTCCTTCCCTCCCTTTATTCAGGCCTCAGCTCAAAAGCCGCTTGTCACGGAGGTCCTCCACTGTAACCCTTCTTACCCCATTCAAGAGAGCTACCACTTTCTCGTCACAGCATTACCCAGCCAGTACACACATGTGGGTTGAGTTTCCCTCACCTAAAACATCTGGGACCAGGGTGTGTGGGAGTTTTCTAAATTTTGGAATACATGATTAATGAGATATCATGGGAAAGGTCCCAAGTTTAAATACAAGACCCATTTGCTTTACGTATACCTACACATATAGCCCAAAGGTAGTTTTATATAATAGGTGCAGTAATTTTGTGCATGAAATGAAGTTTGTGTACCCTGAGCCACCTCAAAGCAAAGGTGTCACTGTCTCGATCACCAAGGCGGACAACTGTGGTCTGGCACTCTCATCGTGCCTAAATCTGAATTTGTGTGCTTGCTGATGACCAATCATTTTCTCACACTTATTCACACACATGTACAGAACTTAACAGTACAAGTTACTGCATGCCAGATGCTAAAATTTTCAGATTTGGGAGGTTGTAGGATTTCATGAGGAAACACGGAAGCACTAGGCTCCTTTCGAAGTCCCAACCCACAGACCAGTGAGTGTAGCTGTCCTCTACCAGGAAGTCTGGTATTGAGCAGGTCACTGAGCCATCACAGTGCTGGTCTGTCCCACCCTTCAACCCACATTGTGCAGCTCATAGCCCTCAATTCCAGCCAGAGCTCCCAGCCCAGCCTTCTAAGTGCACTAGTGCTCTGCTTGGCCTTGAGCGTCAGGTCTGCAAACCCAGAGAGCCCCGACACCCCTGCCCCCCACCACTGGACAGAACTTCACCAGTGCCTGGGAAAGAGGCACCTGTGCCCACGTGCAGTGAGCTCCAACAGTGGCAGCACTCATATGACTCATCCTGGACAAGCTCCAAGGTGGCACAGGCAAAGCTTTTGTGCAAAGCAGGTGAGAACACACATTATTCTCCCTACAGGAAAAGCACTGAGCTTGAGGTTAACTGGTTCAAATGAGAAGATACTGTTTATCTTTCTCTTCACACCCCAAAGAGACGTGCAGAAGTAAGGGTGCCTCTACTCAAAGTAAGGAAGTGCTAAGAGGCCGGCAGCAGGAGCCAGGAAAGCAGAGCCTCCCTGGATGGGTGCTGTGTCGTCCTCTGCCTGCCCAGCCTGTGAGTGAGCCAAGTACCACACAGGACAAAAACTGGGCCCAATCTGAAGGCAGCTGAAAGCAAGCTGGGAGTCTGGCCACCTCTATGACCTTTCTGTGGCCCTGGTCTCACCCCAGGCCAGGCTGCAGAAAAAGCTGGACTGAGAGACAGCCTTCCCTTCTGCTCAGGGCCTCGAGTCCCACAGTCACACTCTAGGGCCTGAGCTTCTACTATGGAACCCTTGGCAAATCCCACCTTCCCATGGGCTAATAAAACACAGCTGGCACATCTCTGAATCTCAGCCGATTTCACTGCCACTGGAACCTTTAAGAGGTGATCAGGTCACAAGGCCTCTTCTCTATTTCGTATCAGGCAGTGGGCTGGTTGTCTTGAGAGTAGATTTGTTACAAAAGTGGGCTCAGCCCACCTTTCTGTCTTTGGCAAGGCTCTCGCCATGCTGTGAGGAGTAGCACAATACCCTGCCAGATGTGGCCCCGTGCTCCCAGATGTTCAGTCTTCAGGGAGGAGAGCCCAGTAACTTTTACCATTCATAATTTATTCCATTTCTGGAATTCTGTTACAGCAGCGTAAAACAGCCTGAGATGTTTATCAACATACTAGGGAGAGAATTCTTGCCCCAAAATCCACCTTTTCAAAAATGGTTAAAAGTGCAGAAATCTGGGGCCTTTAAAATTCTTCATAGGTAAAACCCAATTTTAAGTGAAAAGGGCAATTTAGAGACTAAGAAATACAGCACAGTCAATGTTTTGCTTCTTACCACTCTGTATATTGTAACACTATAAATGAGTGGCTTTCCTTTATTCCGGAAAGAAGACTGACATACACAGACAAGACTTTCCTGTGCATGTGTGCTATCTTCATTTGTAAA